CACAATTTTTTTTCTTTTTGATTTTTTTACCTGGATTACTGAGATGCATCAGGACAATGATTAATTTAGATTAACTTTGTAAAAAATGGTAGTTTCAGTTTTCCAAATCACATTCAACTGCTTACAAGTATGATGTTTCTAACAGTATACAATGCAATATTTAAAGTGCCTGTGACATGCTTATCCTTCTAATACAAAAAGTCAAAGAAAATTTATATTTAAAAAACTTGGCATCATACAATTTTAATATAAACATAACACAATTTTACCGGTTTTGTCACATAACTCATATTTTCTTCTGAATTTAGCTCAGCCAAAGTGAAACAGGAAGTGACATCAAAGGGGAACTCTTTAAGAAAGGAAGTCCCTGGTCTTTGGTATTAAAACAATATYATTTGAACTCTGATTCTTCTTCATCTCTTTGATAGTGACTCAAAATAATCTAAAGAAACTTCAGATTCTGCTCTAGTCTGAGAAATTAGCCACTGTAACAATGCTCTGTTTGCATGCTGTCATTCCCCTTTGTCATCACTTCCTGTTCACATGCAAATATCTCAACAGCTGTCCTCACCAGTGTTTAATAACATATTGCAAAAAAATAATGTTATCTTTACAAAAATGCATWCAGATATTTTAACCTTACTGCTAATGAAGGGGATGAACAAATAAGCCTCCTGCCAGCAGTTTGTTAAACTGCAGCYAAGTATTTACAGTATCACACTAATTAACACTGTATTGTTTGGTAAAACTAAAAAAATCTTCTTTTTTTTTTTTCCAAGAAGTCAAAACTGGGGTAATATTTACACCAAGATGTGTTGCAGAAGAGTTTGGCTAGAGGTAAAAAAATAACGTGTCAATTTAAAGTATACTCAAAGTGTCAGTTTTCTCAGAGTTTAATGCTTTATACTCCAATATACTCAGGTGCACAAGCACCAGTTCCTGTAATGAGTGAAACTCTGCTGCATGGACCATATTTGTGTAAATGGTGAAAACTAATATCCAAAGATAGTTTTTTTTTTCTTTTTTTTGCCAACTTTGCAAAACTCTGATAAACAAACTGCAGAATGATGCTGTTTTGAGTCTGCTGCTGTTCCAGCAGTTTCTGCCTTGCATTGTCTTCATATCTCTGCCTGCTTTAGTTTTCTTGTAAAAACACCTTGTTGACAAAGATGTTTTTATGTCCCACACACTTTTTTTTCTCTCCCTCCAAACATAAAGCTACTTACAAAATGCCATTGTTTCCCCAGACATCCAACACCCACCTGGCAACTAATGCAGTGAGTTAGCACATCCTCTGGCATGCCGCTTCACCACRCTTGACTGTTATTGATGCTGAGCAGTGAGTGTGTGTTTGGATAAGCATGACTGAGTGTGTGCTTGTCTCATTCAGTCTTTTGATTCTTTATTCACACCTCTTTCATAACTTATACAACTATACCAATCAAACCGTGCACAGTGCAAGCAAAGTATAATTTGAGCACAGTGACGTCTTTTTTTTTCTATGTTTATGTGCTCCATGTTTTCCAATGTTTCCTCKTTATCGCTTTATACTTCTAATCATTCATATTGTCCTTACATGAGGTGTATGCAGAAGGAAAAGTGAGAAAACCATCTTTTTTTTTAGTGTCTACTGGTGCAGGCTTACACTTGGTGGTGGTTTTATGTGAAGCTTGGAATAAATACCCCCATCCACCCTGATAACTACCCGCCCTGTCCCTCCGTCTGGATGTTTAGGCTCCAGGGCGCGAATGAGCTTTCTTACCTCATAGCCCATCCAAACCCACCTCTGCCTGCTCCAAAGCCACATAATGGGCTATTTGCTTTATTACTCCATTTAGGAAAAAAAAATGTCAACTGATATCGTTCAACCACACACATAGTGTGTGTATGTGTGTGCATGTGTGTGTTTGTGGGGAGACAAAAAAAATAATGGCCAGAGGCAGCGGTACTGCAATGGCTTGTTCTGTGGTGATTTAATTATGGGCAGATTGTGAGAAAATTATTCACGATTACGTTAGGTGAAGTCTTTGTGAGACGTGATTTAAACACATTCACAATACTCTGAGCAATAAATGCAGCATTATCACGGAATTTCACATTTTAGTGCCATTACAATTCACAAAGTTTCTTTTTTTTCATCTTAAATAAACTTCTGTTTAAAAAAATAACACTGGAATATACTGGGCTCGCAAAAAAATCATTTGTAATGCTTTTCATTCATTATTTAACATGAGCGAATGTTTTAGATCAGAGTGGAGCTGTACAATATGTTGAAAATTTAATGTCATTTCACTATCAGATTGGGTCATTTTAATACTGCAAAGGAAGAACTTACCTGRACCGTAATTAATCATAGACTTGTATAAATATATGTCAGTCTTTCTTGTCATTGTATAGACTTATCTACACAACAGTATTGAATTGCTACAGCTAAAACAATCAAATGGCTAAAGCACTTTTAAAAGCACTGTTTTTCTTTATTATTATTATTATTATTATTATTATTATTATTATTATTATTATTATTATTATTATTATTATTATTATTATTATTGTGCAATCCTAGAAATGGCTGATAAATAGTGATCATATTTTTGTGTAGCAGGAAAACACAAAAACTCTGTTTTATTAGTGCAAAAAATATTAAATTTTGCTTTCTATGCCTGGAGCACCGCAGCACTACTAGCAAATCTACTGTGTCTACTTTATTAGCGCTGCTGGATTCATTCAGGACTGACCTGCTGCACGACATGATTTATACAGAGTCATGTGAAGGCTTCTTGGTTTGGAACTTGCAGACACTCTAAGAAACCACTTGGCAGGTTGCATGAATCATGTGTCACAGTTTATATCACTGAAACTTCATCAAAGTCGATCAAAAATAAACTACGAGGCGGTAAAACACGAAACAAAACAAAGGTTAGCGTGTACCTCAGAAATGCTTTTATCTRTCGACTTGGTGTATCTGGTACCACAACAAGTTTGGCCTAATCGCCGTATGATGGCATGAGGGTTTTGTTTGTAAACTCAGATGTCAAAGATTAGAGGACTATTACTTCTTTATCTTGTTGAGAAAACTCTCACTAATTAAATACGTTGAGCGGTTAGTCAACGGAAACAAAGTTCTTAATCATATGTCAAACTTCAAAATTTCAAAGCTTTACAATACTTAAAAAAAACTGTTAACTTTCATGTACACATCTTCTGGTAAACAGGATATTAAAGGAGCATTATCTTCCATTAGGAGTTTTGTTTAATCTTATTTTAATGTTTGTACTCCTGTTTTTTGGTGCAGACCTACAAACATGCAGGCTGCGTGCCTGCTTCTGTCACATGTATAGTTTTGTTGCAGTAACAATCTTTAAGCTGCCTGGGTTTTAAGGAGGAGGTAATTTGTATTTTATATGTATGTATTTATTAACTACCTTCAGTTGTTATAAAAAACCGCTGCTTATATCAAAAATAAAGTGGACTTTGCATCATAGTTTATCTAAATACCTTGAAATTGGCCTCTGTCTCTTTAAAAAATATCCAACCATTTCAGACACTCCCACTTCAGCACGTCTTCACAACAAAGCTCTGTGGGGAGGAGCTAGCAGCTCCATATGGCTGCAACAGGAAATTCAAGGATTTCTCAAACATGCATGMATGAGTCAAAGCAGCACTCTGGTTATGTTTTTGATGAGGCAATGACATTATAACAATTGATTTTTGCATAAAATCAATAGTCATCCCTAAGAATTATTATTATTCTGTAGTTTCCTTACACATACAGTAAAAGTACTATAGTGCTGTTAAATCTGAGGTTTCTCTCACCTTTTCACCGTCTTTTGAGGAGGGGCTTTCAGTTTGTCGTACTCGTCTTTCTCTGAGAAGATCACCACATTGTCTGCAAAGATCAAAAAAATCACACAGGTTTAAAGATGTGTCACACCCCAAAAAGAAAAGAAAAAAAAACRTGTCTAAAACATGTACAACATGCAACACGGGAAAAAAAAAGACCAGTTTCAAAATGTTTGATGAGAAAATGTTTGAACTGCAGTTGGATTAGTGTTTTAAATGATTATCCTGAGTATTATGTGGAATTACACTGACATCATGGCTACTGATAGGAATAGACAGCCTAATGAGTGAACTCCTGAGAGGAACAAGTGTGTGTGTGTGTGTGTGTGTGTGTGTGTGTGTGTGTGTGTGTGTGTGTG